TGTGTTTAAAGGACACTCTGTCACTAAATATTCCCCCCTTGTAAAATGCCTGGTTTTCCAATCAAGCACCTGTTTGATTTTTTAAATTGCTATGGCCTCAGTTGTGAGAATTTCAGTAATAGTATTGTCTCCTCCAGAGCATTATGGAAGGGTGATAGAGCCAAGTAAAAATGAAGTGCTGTGGTTCAGGTCATGGAGTATGTATTACTGTAAGAAAATCTAGCAAGAGGCCAGGCTGTAAATGGAGACCATGTCTGAGGTGAGGAAAAAGATATTCCATAAAGAAAACTGCCCTGTAGGAACTGTGTGCTTTAAGGGGAGAGACAGCAGGAGGGGAAGGAATATCAATTCAAAAGACTATACTCTTTGGACCTTATTTGGACAGGAACACTGCTACTGGTTAGAGTTTAAAGGATTTCTACAGTTTTATCATTGACCTCGGTTTCTGGTCCTTACAACTTAACCTGTACAGGTTTCCTTCAGTCTTTCTCTCCCAAAATATAGAAAGTTTTCAGGACAGATCTCTGCTAAAATCTCTGCAATAGAAATCAATCTGCTTCACGTTGAAGTACAAATAATTATCATAAATTTTGTTCTTGTAGCTGGAGTGGGAGAAAATTATTTATATATAGGCAAATTGTAACTTATCGAGTTCACTTTAACATGCTAATTACTATCACAGTTATTACATAAACAGGGAGATCTTTCTACAGCCAGCTGCATTCTTGCATTTTATAATATCCAAGTTTGGCTGTGGTGTATAATAATGAAATTTGAGCCTGAGTATTTCAGTCGTTAGGTTTTTTTTTTTTGTCATACAGTTACAGTCATTCATGAAAACTTTGCACAAGATGCTTGTAAAAATGCTTTTATGAAGTGAATGAACCTTCTTCCCCTTTCTTTTCCACCCCCCACCACCCCAAGGAAAATCTGTGATTTGCCAAGATAAATAAAATTAAGAATGAAGCATAATTAGAATCAAGTATGTAATTATGTTGGTGACTCTTGCAATGATTTTGGTTAAATAAGTCTCTCTTTTTTAGGCTCTTAATAAATAGAGTATCTTACTAGAACCGTCTCCATTAAATTTAATACCTATACGGCATACACGGATGCCTCATTAATACCTCTTAGTTAATTAACAAATGCAAAGTCTTAGTAAACAAACAAAACAATTTGGTTAATTTTGATATTTCTTCTATTCATACAATTCAAAGGATGTTTGAAGGATGATTTTTGTCTAAGCAATTACTATCCTGAAATACAAGGGATAATGGTAGCAGCTGTGTTGAACAGTAGACAGGTACTACATTTTCTGCCCATTAAATTTAACATATATGTGTTAATCTTGAAGATGTTTTGGTAGCACTTAAGTAATAATGAAAGATATTAAGTATATATTCTCCAATAGATGTAGGGAACATCTTTATCTCCTTTCTGTCTCTCAATAAAATGTTTGCGCATCTGGCATAAAACGAAACTGAGCTTTGTGGCTTTGTTCGTTAAAGTTCTGCTTCTGGACTTGGTAAATGAATTATATTATAAGCAGTGCTTTCCTAACTTTTTTTTCTTTCTCTCTTTAACATATAAATAAATGTGTAAAGCCACTTTGTACTTCAAACAATTTTCAAGCACACCAGATCAAGAGGAAGAGAGAAAAAAATAGAGTGACCTTTTCCTAACATAAAATATAAATAATAACTATTTGCATTTTCTGCCCCAAATACATAACTGGTGATAGAAGAGAACATGCCAAAAATGGGTCTACTCACCTGTGCATTTGTATAAATTGGCTAAAAGTTCCCTGTGTATTATCTCAGCTGCAGCACAGTACCTAACACTTCTAAGTTCAAAACCAGTTTTAACGCTTTGCTTTCACTGCAGCCTTTGATTTTAATTCTAGCCATGGTGGCAATCATATTAAGAATTAGGATAATCTTTGTTGTTGAAATTATTTTATCAAAGTTTTAACACATAACCTTTTTTCTAATGAAACTTATTTTATTTTAATTCTGAATTTCAGTGTTCCTTTTTAAGATCATGCAATACTTGCCATATGAATGAATGTCTAAGATTTAGCATAATAGAATGAAGCTAGTTACTTAAAGTAGGGGAACAGTTCATGCATTTCATTTATTCCATATATAGTTGTAACTAATGAGAATTAGAAATAAATATCACAGTGTGATGCTTTTGGAGCACTGAGTAAGAAATATTAAGTAGTAAGACTATTTCTGTATGGGCAGGTGTGTGTATTTACACACACACACATACACAAAGTCTCTGTGCATACAGCTGTACGCATACCCAGATTAGTAGCATGCTTTACTCTTATTACAGGACATTATCAAATAATGATAAACTAGATTACCATTTAATTTCACAGACCTAGAGATTGAGTGTACTGGTTATAGGAATGCATTGTAACAAATATTATGATATAAGCACTGCAACATTGGTAAACACATCTGGTACAGCCCTTCTGAAATAAAAGATTTTAAATCTTAGCCTGACCTACTTTGGAGCTCCAGCTGTTGAGGAGGATGGTCAGTATAAAGCTTCCTGGATGTTGTTATGCACGTGTGGGGCTTTTGCATATTCTGTTGCAGTGGAAATCGCACAGTGACAATCAGTAGCATCCTCCAGAGATGATAATGTCTCCACTCTTGAAGATGGCAGCATTTTTGACTGAGATCTTTCTTGTAGACGACATTGCTAATTAAGGCTGGCTGCTACCTTTATAGGCAATAATGTTAGGAAAAAAATGGACTTAGTCTATAAACAAACTTTGAGGAATTAATATTATTATTTATTCATGGCTAGGATGACAGCTTGCCCTCAATAAGGCTCATGTGATGGAGGGCTATGCACAAAAGACAATCCTTAATGATATTTCAATTTAACATACTAAATTTGATTCAAAAGAATACGAGATGGCATACAATGGCTATCATGGAGGGCAGCTGTGGTCTGTGGATGGTGTGCGTCAGCACCCAGGAGGACATGGTAGAGCAGTGCCTGATGTACGGAGGTTATTATGAGACTTCTCGGCTACACAGCTGAATTGGGGTTTACAAAGTTAAGGCATAGATGGAAAAATGAAGAGGAAAATATATCTTCTCTTCTGCTTTCTTCATCTTCACTTTCTCAGTGCTTCATGGGACCTTTTACACATGTCAGTAGTGACAATCACAGCACAGTGGCAGCTGACGCAAAAAGCAGATGCTTTTAAGTATTAGAAACCCTTGATAAAATCAGTTCATAAATATAGCTAGATATTCTGTCCCTTTGGAAGGGATTAACTCCAAGGCACCAATTCCAAACTCCTTCATGACAATATGAAGGACCCTGTCAACATCAAATGGCCTTGAAATTGTATGCCTGATGCATTAATGACTTTTGGCATGGATTGGCTACCAGATCCATTGAAAATAACTATTTCCATTGGATATTACAGCTTACTTAGCTAAAATAGCCGTTGCCACAGTAATTTTTTGTTTTTCAATATCATCCAGATCTTATGAAGATACTACTTGTCTTAAAAACCAGCACATGGCTATATAGACTTTAGCAGATGACTATATAGACTTTTTTAGAAAGGAATAAGGAGAGGGGAGGAGTCATGCGTATTTTTATTCTGATGAGTTCTGTTTCCTCACAGGAGACATATCATAATTGTATATGTAACTGACACATGGATTATGATTCTTTACTCTTAATCCCCAATTTTATTTGTCTAGTCCTAGGCGTCCCTGCATGTAGAGTGATATAGCAAGTAGCATGTTAATTTACTAAAGCATTAAATAAAAGATAGTAAAACTAAAGTAAAAAAAAGCTTTTTCATAAATTATGCAGGTAGCTACAGCAGTGTAGAATGCAGAAAAGGTTCTACTATTGTTGCCTAAAGCTCATTAAGTATTTAAGTGTGTTGTCCAGTGATTTGTTGTGTGTTTTGTTTTCTATTTTCGAGTTTTCTTGTCTTGTTGCAGAAAGAATGATCTCTGATGACAAATTCTGTGAAATTTCAGTTCGAAGGAATATTTTGTCCTATCAACGTTCTTTGATTTATTGCAGTACCTGCTTTATTTTCTTTTATTGATAAGTTCCCATTTGTCATCTTTTCATCATAGATTTGCTGTTCTCATCTTTATCCACTTACAGATACCGTAATCACTTTAAACCTTAAAAACAAAGTTGGCATCTGTTGAGTTTTGTTATCTCATAGTTTGATGAGCCCATGATTACTTACATCTCCTTTTTGCCTCTAAGCGCAATAAGAAACCCCCAGCACTCAGTCAGCTGCTGCTCATAGAAAATAGCAACCTTAATACGGAGTATGTCAGGAGTTAAAGTGACTGGAAAACCAACATTCACTGGGGAAAACAAGTGTAGTTACTGACCCAGATACATATAAGAAAATTCTGCCTCATTCTGTAAAACATCAGAGACGCAAACAACAAGGGATTATCTCTTCAGCATGATACAGAGACGGCTTTCTTCATGTAAAGCTATCCTAGAATATGGCCCCAGGATATCCCTATACAACCTTTTGAGGAACTAGAGTTAAGTGCCACTATGTGTATCAGTAATAAGGGTGAGCAAAAAGACACTGATGACCTGAAGGAGTATAAATGCCATTGAATATTCACTTCACATGGATAACCTCTTTATGCAAAGAAATATAATTGCTCCTCAACAACTCAGGAGCTACAGAGATAAGCACTTTTCTCATAGTTTTGACAGGAACTCATTGTGACCTGAGAAGCTTGGCTTGTTTGAAATTATTCATTTCCCAATGTCACTAAATTAAACTTGAAACATATGGTTTTCAGTGAAGTGTGCAAGGTAAATTAGCACAGATTTTTTTTTTCTTTGGTACTTTTTCAGATGCCAGCTGCCCATGAACAAATCTTTAAAAAGAGCAATTGTAATGACAAAAAAGTGGAACTTCAAGTAAAAAAAGAAAAGATTTAATTGGTATTATGTCTACAAGCCTCCCACTCTATCTGTGGGATTAAATTAAGATGTATTGACAGATACTGCATGTGTTCAGTGAAATATAAATTGATTGCAAAACTGTTTTATGTCAATAAGCTGCTTACATTGAGACAGAAAAGATCATGGATCACTAACAAAAAAATTATACAGTGGAAACAAATCTGTATTCTGGGGCTGACTTTCAGGATATGCAAAAATGTGGAAAACTACATACATAGAATTTTAAGTTGGTAAGAATTGGTAAGAGTTACTTAAACAAAATCACTAATCACTAATACTTCCTTCACTGTAAAATAACTTTTATTGTTATTCTTATATTAGAAATTACTTCTAAAGCAGACACTGTTTTGCTACTTCTGGACTACAAGTATTTCAAAAATATTAAAAGGTAATTGTTTCAAAAAGCATTTTTTGAGAGTAATAGTCTGACCAAACTCTACATGCCACACTTAGGCAAAGCTCCCTACTGCTCTGTGTGAGCTCAACTGAAGAAAAATAAAATTTTGTCCCCATGGAGGAAATATTTGGATGAAATATTATAAGTGAGGAGAAAAGCTTGGGGAATCAAGAACTTTCAATAACTCTTCAAAATGAGAGAACAAGTGCCATTATAGATTCAGAAGTGGCTTCTAAAAAAATTGAGAGTAAAAGTCATACAGAACACCTGAAGTGCAAGTGGAGTGCAAGTGGAAATCTAACAAGTCATTTCAATTTTACAGAGGAGAAATCTAGATTGGGGGAGAACAAAATAAGAAAAAAAAAAAAACCCACCCTTAATAGTAGCTTTGACTTCATGAAAAATGTTATGGAATTAATGTAGGGAGGGGTTCATTTACTTTGTGTAAGTGTATCAGTAGAATAGTAGACAATAACAAAATTAATAATTGGAAAGCTAGAGAGACCTCATAAAAATACATCAGCTATTGTTAAGGATCATAAAAAGGGAATTATTATAAAATATGAACATATACAAAACATGTACTTTGGATTATCTGATTTGAAGCACATTAGGGGAATTAGCAAAGGAATGTACCGCACCATGGACAATTTATATTTGAAGGGTCAGTGAAAACTCCTGCTCAGACAGGGAGAAAGTGTTACAGTGTTCATCAGTAGCACAGTTTATACTGAATACTGAAACAGAGCTCTCTGTATGCTGGTTATTCTCCTACAAGGAAACAAAACTTACAAGTTCTGGGACTGAAACACTCTAGTTAAACATTCTGAGATCTGGAAAAACTGATGGCTTTAGAAAGTAAAGTTTGTTAAAAGAAAAAAATAAAAGATTCAAGGTAGTCACACTCTAAAGGATCTATATTGGGTAACAGTTCTGGCTCTTAAATTGAGCAAACAGAAGTCCGGTGGCTAGAACCTCAAGTTAGATGATTGCAGGACAAATAAAGATGTACATTTTTTGAGTGCAATCAATCACAGGGATAATTACTAAAAGTACTTGTGGTATTGAGCAAGTAATTGTTACCGAGCAAGGTAAAAAGAGTATCTTTTAGCAATAAAAGCTATAGAATTATGAAAATCTCAGAGGGACTCCAGATTGCCTCACTTGGCTCTACATGACTCGTAAACCTCTGTTAAAATCTCAGTTTCCTGCTATAGCAGTACCTCTGTGCTCGGGAAAAAAAGAAATGTATCCTTCAAGAGTTAGGACAATAGAGAAACTGTTTTCTTTAAGCAAAATCCATTTCTACTTATTTTCATAAAAGTATCTTTTTTTGTTTTATTTTTTTCATAGCCTAGCCAATTTTTTCTGTTCTCGTTCATAGACTTGCTCTGTAGGATAAACCATAACTGACTGTGAAGTGTAATTCTTTGAGATTCTTCAAGGGCAAAATCCAGAAATGTTTCTGAATGTTTTCTGGATTTTTCTCTGGAAATATTTTCCCTTCCACTCTTCCCTCCCCACAGAGCCCAGAAGGGACAGAGAATTAGAGAGTGAGAGCGTGGGGACCTTTGAATGGTACCACAATGAGGAGATTGTCAATATTTTAATTCTGTGTCCTCCCTATATAGCTTTCAGTCTCTCATTTTTTGTCTGGAAGAGCACAAATATTTTAATCTTAAATATGTTTTCCCCTATTTCACTTTATTTCTTCTGTTTTCCAATTATTAATATGTTTAACATTGTGAAGAATAGGCTGTGATGTTAGCTTAGGTTGTGCCTTACGGTTATAGAATTTTCTGCCCCTGTTTAAAACTGAGGAGATACCTCTTTCTGGTTATCCTGTGTAGATGCCTGCAGTGATCTCTACAAGCTATTCCTTATTTTGTGAGGAGTTATCTGAGGAAAAAAAAAACAACAAAAAATTCTGCCTAGGGCTACTTTTAGCAAAAAAACACTTTATGAATACATATTGCATTATAAGACGTCTTTTGACCCTGGTGAGTTAGAAATTGCTTTAGAAAAACATCTAACTGTAATTCTTTGATTAGATTGTCCATTGTTCTCCAAACTGCTAGTATCTGTCTTATTAATATTCTCCAAAAGCAACTGTATTGTTGATTTTAGTTCACCTCCAGTTGTGCCATAAAGCTGTGTCTAGGTGTGACCTTCTAGCTTGCGTTTAGATATTTCCTTAGGACTCACTGAAGATTGTGCATAGCTATTTGCAAACACTTTATTTTTGCTTTACTTTTATAGTGTTACTGCAGGGCAACAAATAATATGGACAAAACTGAAACCATTGCCATTCCAGTTTATTATCCTCGAAGTGGGTTCCCCC